AACTATGGCTTCAATTCTCCTCTCTCTCTCTCTCTCTCTGTGGTGGGAGCACTCTACTCTTAGTGATGGCGGTTCTTGCAGTGAGTAGCCTCACTCTTAGCTATGGCTGCTACTCTCTCCCTCTCTCTCCATTTATGGCTTCTAATCTCTCTCTCTCTCTCTCTCTCCCCTCACATTCTTCTCTCTCTCCTCTCAGCTAGCATGAGCACGTTTTCCTACCTAGCTATGCCTGCTCCCTTTCTCTCCATCTGTGTCTTTGAATCTCTCTCTCTCTCTCTCTTTTGCCGTGTCTCTCTCTGGTGCTAGTGCTATCCTCTTAGCACTGACGCTTCTTGAAGTCCGCAGTGTTCCTGCAGAACGCATGCAGCCAAATGTGCAAGGTTGGCGAGGAAGCTGGACTCTATTGTGTTGACCGGCCTGTCCTGCCTCCTCTTTGACCTGAGGAAAAACCAAGATTCATGCAGCTGGGCGGCTAAGATGCAGCAGTGGTTTTTGAGGCTTTCCTTGACCCAGTAGGCCCTGAATTGCATCTGGAAACACTTTCTGAGACCTTGGAATTGTGTGTGATCAATGTGGTCGACTTCTGGAGAAATCTTTGACTCTGTCTGCTTTTGCGGCAGTAGAGCGTGACCGCTGCCATCTTGTTGACTTTTGAGGACCTGACCGTTGACTTTCCTGCCGCCTGGGTTGACTATTTTGGGCCCTGGAACTCTGTCTGAACGCTGTGGTGCAAAGCCATTGACTACTGACCTCAGAAGTTCTTCATGCAGCCCTGAGGGAAGACTCGTGCTAAGGTGTTCCTGGGACCACAATTATAGTGCGACCTGAATGTATATGACTGCAAGTACGGCCAGGGCTCAGTCCGAAAAGTCCGGGTGTGAGTATTCCCGACCACTGTACAGCATGGCTTCTGAGCACAGAACTCTTGACTTGGCCAAACTGTGTATGACTGAAAGAGCCTCATGCTGTACATGCTGTACACAACATTCCGAATGCGTACGACTGAAAGAGCCTCATGCTGTAAACAACATTCTGACCACCACATAACATTCCAAATGTATCTGGATCTCATGCTGTACCGATACATCCAAAAATTTTGGGAAGCCCGAAATGTATGTGGGTCGGATTGAGTCCAAATGCATTTAGGACGTCGTAGAGTGGAGCGAAGTCCAAAGATTTGCATTGTGGGTTTTGACCGGCTAATCTACGACGAAGATACGTGCATGTAAGCGTTAATAAAGAGGTCATAGAGTTCGAATGCCAGTTGGATATGATTTTTCAATTAAAGAATGGAATATCGGGGACGGAAATAAAGATCTATGAAATACAAATAAAAACTTACGAAATGGATGCCCGTGTAGCGGAGGATTTCACGCATGTAACTGTTAATAACCAAGTTACGAGTTCGAATCCCGATGGAATGAAAATGGATAAGATTTTTTTAATGAGAAACGAAAATAACATGACCGAAATAAAAATCAATGAAATACGCTTGATACAAATAAAACATAAAAGGAGCTGATGTTACTGGGAAAAAACGGAAATAAAACTAATGAAATAGAAATGAAAATAATGAAACAGAAGGCTACCGTCTTCCCCCGAACATAATGCACCCTCATTTTGCCTGTACCAGACCGGAAAGATAGCTTCTATACAGTCATGATCAGGGTGCGTTTTGTGCAATGGAAGACGGTAGTAAAAGATTGGGGGAGGGACGAGAATAAGAGCAGGATCCAGAGGCCTAGCTGAGTTGGTAAGGCATGCAAGAGGCATTCAGGAGGTCTTGGGTTCAATCCCCATTGGCTTCATGTACCTTCCTGGGCAAGCTTGGCGCCCGCCGCATAGAGATAAGCCGTCGCCCCCCCCCGAGTGGCATTGAGCAGAGACTGATGATGTTCATAGGGGTGAGGGGACCGGAGGGGAGGCACAGCAACTGGCCCATCGAAGAAGCTCGGTCCTGATGCTACCGGCTGAGCCCTGAAGTATTACAAATTACAAAATACTGAAGTGAGAAATAGGGTTATGGTTATACGTGCTAGAAACCCAGTTCATTCCGTTTTTCTTATTTTAGTATTTTGTAATACTTCAGGTTTACTTGTGTTATTAGGTCCGGTATCGCGCACCTGCAGGTCGGGTGCAGCTCCCGGATGTTCCCTCGTTGGAGGCTTGAACTTGGGCTGGCTGGTACGGGGTTCCCTGCAGTATTATAAAAAAGGCCTGAAAGGCCGTCCTGCCCAGATTTGACAGGAAAGAAAAGAAAAACAGAGGATGCTCACACTACCGCAATCTGAAATGTATCTGATGGTAACTACGGCCGTACTTGGATGTAGCTGACCACAATTACGTCCAGAAACAAGTAATAAAGTCCTAGTGTGTCTGAGAATGAGAGTGATAAAATTGTAGTGTGCGAGTAAAAGCACCCCAATATCAACAGATCTGGGCCATCTCCCTTTAGTAGGAAAGGGGAAGTAAAAGGACACATTCATGGGAGGGAGGGAAAATTAAGAGATGGTCATACGTGAAAGGGGGAAACTTGGAAAGGTATCGTGGGGAAGGAAGTCGAGTACGTAAAGGATGAGCAAGGGAAGGTGGGTAAGAGGGAAGAGAGCTGCAGATGGACGGGGGAAAGTATCAACTGATGGTGGAGGTGCCTGAAGGGGATGGAGAGGAAAGACCAAAAATTTTTGTCTCTTTTGTTTTTTTGACTAAGGGATGGCACGGAGAGGGAAAGGAGAATTGGTGGTGTAGGTGAGAGGATGTGAGACAGTGATCTGCCTGTGTTTCACCCTTTTGTGGATGTGCATGTGTGTGTGTGTGTGCGTGTGTGTGTGCGTGGGTGTGTGCGTGGGTGTGTGTGTGTGTGTGTGTGTGTGTGTGTGTGTGTGTGTGTGTGTGTGAGAGANGTGTGTGTGTGTGTGTGTGTGTGTGTGTGTGTGTGTGTGTGTGTGTGTGAGAGAGAGAGAGAGAGAGAGAGAGCTGCCTGTGCTTCACCTTTCTGTGCGTGTGTGTGTGTGTGTGTGAGAGAGAGAGAGAGAGAGAGAGAGAGAGAGAGAGAGAGAGATTGTTTGTTGTTGCTTTGCTGGCTTTGGTGATTGTCTTGCACATGGTCCGTCACTCCTTGTTGGTGCCTGTGATCTGATGACACTTTTTAATGAACTACCATGTCTTGATTTGCTTTTCCCTGCATCTGACCTTGCGTAATTTGTATGTTTTTCAGGTCGTGTCGTTGTTGCAAAAGTACTTGGGGAACTACGTTCGCGGAATATCGGTTGAAGCTTTGAAGATTAGTGTCTGGGCAGGTAACGGTTCTAGTTGTCACCGCCGGGGGAGTGCTCGTCTTTAAAGATCAGTGTTCCGTTTTCCAAACCTGGGGTTCAATATGGTCTCTGGAGTCTGAACTTCATCTTCTGTATCTTTTTTCGGTCCGATGCCGTAGCCTCACATTTACAGAATGAGCTTGCAGGTATTGTGGGCCCCGCTGGACTCTGTCGAGGCCCTTTGGCATGCCGTGAGTCTAGGCCCACAGAGTGCTCACTTAGTTCCCGGTGCCTCCCTACGTAGTCCAAACATAGTCCAGGGTGGCATTTGGATCTTGTGTGGGGCCTACTGGCGTCTACGCCCCAGGTATGACATGAGTATGGGACTACCTTCTTCACCCTAATACACCGAACAGTCGTCATAACTATATTTGGGGTATCTTTCAGTCTAAATGCATCAATAATGACCTTAACGTTGTATCCGGGTGAAGAAGGTAGGGCCCCGTCCTCCGCAGGCACTGTGTGCACACAGAGATTTGCAAGTATGGATCGAAGTTGTCGAACAGATGTGCACACATACCACGGTCCAAGTTCCATCAAACAGATTGTGCCAGAGAATCGCGCACGTCAGCGAATCTCCTAGGATATAAGTCCGAAAAATACTAGCAAGCATCAGTGGCCCTAATACCACCCCCCAGAAGGTGGGCGATGTAGATTAAGTGCTGTTCTGTTTGCGAAAAATACGTGGGGAAAACAAGTCTGGATGCGAAAGACAATACCTGGTGCGAGAGGTGTGCATACCGTTGCCTCATGGTGTCACTTGTAGACCCAAAAGTTTCAGGTTTAAAAAAGTTCATAAAATAGTATCAGTGGTTCTTACCCCACTACATCGCCAGCCGGTGGGCAATGAAGATTAATTGCTGTTCTGTTTTTGAAAGATATGTGGGAAAAATGTCTGGATGGCCAAAGAGAATCCCCCTGGTATGAAAGGTGTGCATACCGTTGCCTCGTGGTGTCAGCTTGTAGACCCAAAAGTTTCAGGTTTAAAAAAGTTCATAAAATAGTATCAGTGGTTCTTACCCCACTACATCGCCAGCCGGTGGGCAATGAAGATTAATTGCTGTTCTGTTTTTGAAAGATATGTGGGAAAAAATGTCTGGATGGCCAAAGAGAATCCCCCTGGTATGAAAGGTGTGCATACCGTTGCCTCGTGGTGTCAGCTTCCATCCCCGAAAGGTTCAGGTTTTACCGTCTTCACCTGAATAGAACGCCCCGTCATTATAGCCGTATTTGGTGCAATTTTCAGTTTACATACAGTGATAATGGGTATTCTTTTCGGGTGAGGATGGTAGCTAGCATCAGTGGTTCTTACCCCACTACATCACCAGCTGGTGGACGATGTAGATTAAATGCTGTCCTGTTTGCGAAAAATATGTCTGGATGGGGAAATAAATCCTGGCTTGAAAGGTGTGCACACTGCACAGTACGGCATACGTTTGCCTCGGGTGTCAGCTTGTAGGCCCAAAAGTTTTAGGTCTGGGGCTCCAGGATTGGATAAAAACTATAGGTCTACAGGTTTGACAAAATAGTTTTGGGGCCATTGATCCATGGGAATTTCCTTTGCCCGAAATTGTCTCAACCCATGCTAAGGGCCTTACCGTGCTTATGGTGTCAATGATTTTGTTGATATCATCATTATTTCTTCAATTGAAGGCATTATTTCAGTCTGCATTGTTAACAAAGAAATTGGATGACAGCCATTGACAGCTGTGCTTCCTCTTTTTTTTTTTTTTTTGTGTGTGTGTGTGTGTGTGAAATGTGGGATTGTTTCCTGCATTGTGAAATGTTCGTTTCTTTCTAACAACAATGTGGTCTCAAAATCTGTGCAGGGGATGTGCTGTTGAACAATCTTCAGTTGAAGGCAGAGGCTCTAAATGCTCTTAATCTACCAATCGTAGTGAAAGCAGGCTTTTTAGGGTCGATACGTCTGAAGGTATGTTCTTGATCTTCTCCTGTTCTTCTTCTTATCTCCTGCTTATCTTCTGCTTATCTTCCTCTTATGTTCTTCGTACCTCCTCCTTGTCTTCTCCTTACCTTCTCCTTGTCTTCTCCTCGTCTTCTCCTTATCTTCTCCTTGCTTCTCCTTGTCGTCTCCTCGTCGTCTCCTTATCTTCTTCTCCTTGTCTTCTCCTTGTCTTTTCCTTGTCTTCTCCTTGTCTTCTCCTTGCTTCTTCTTGTCGTCTCCTTGTCTTCTGTTGCCACCAAGTGGCATGGATGTTGTGTCAAGGTGTGTGTTCTCAATCTTCTCAGTATCTTCTCGTTTGCATTATGTTCTCGTTATCGTCTCTTTTGCATTATCTTCTCCCTATCTTCCTTTTCTAGTTTCATTGAATCTTTTCCTTCTTGCTGAGTGGCATGGGTGTCGCTTGGTGCGGTGAAGAAAGCTATCCTTTCGCCCTTATGGCACTGCAATCCTGCTGCAAGCTGTTTCTGCAGATTGATGAGGTTCCACCTGCTTATCCGAAAGTGAACACCAATGCTTCGTCTCTCTATCTAGTAGTGCTGTTCTATAGCCCTGCACTATAATGAACACGATTGTAAACCTGATGGCATAGTTGACAATTTGTGCAGGTTTTCTTTCCTTTTTTTTTTTTTTTTTTTGACGTTCGACCAGATTGTGAAGCTGAATTTTGGGCATCCCTTGAAATTGGAAGGATGTGGAGAGAAAAGGTTAGAATGATCCCGGAGCAAGGATGGCAGTGGGAGACGATGCGATTCTTTTGCTTTTTTGGTACTTTTTGTTACGTTTATTTTTTCAAAAAGGGAAAACTCCCTTCCATTGTTGAATCCAGCAAGACTCCAACCGGCAATCTTTTTCTCAGCCATCGAGGCCCCCCCCCCCCCAACCCCACCCCCCCGGAAGAACCTGATGTTTGGAAGTTGGACCTTTTGTGATTGTGGTGGGCTGGATATGGATATGTACAGGTCCCTTGGAATAGGCTTGGACAAGAGCCTGTCATTGTGCTCTTGGATCGGATTTTCCTGCTTGCAGAGCCTGCGCAAGATGATTGGCTGCGTACGGTACGCTGCACATTTTTGATTCCTGTTAACTTTGAAATCTTGACTTCTCAACAATCGAAACTGTATATAAGACTATGTTTGTGTATATTAATTATGAACTAAACTGGGGGAAAGTCGTGAACACCTTTCTCAATACTCTCTCCTTTGGATGACCAGTACATGGACCCAGCCAACTTGAGAATCATAATGGAGGAACCTCTAAAATTTCGGAGGCGTGGGGCAACCGGACCAAAATGGCTGGTCGCGCCTTCCAAAACGAGAAACGAAAATGCTTTGCTGGCTTTGCTGGCGTTTTGGCAAAGCTTGGTGCGCAGGGGAATCCTCCTCGTACAAAAGAGGCCCGGATGCACTGGAGCACCAAAATGGCTGGCTGTTCCAGCCAAACCAAAAACAAAAATGCCGCGCTGGCATTTCGGCAAAGCTTGGCGCGCAGGGGGAATCCCCCTCGTAAAAAGAGGCCTGGATGTACTGGTGGAAACTGTTATGTATGAAGTTGCTGTGTAGCATAGAATTGATTGGGGGCAAGTCATGGACATCTTGCCCAATTCGCTCTCCTTCAAGAACTGTTATGGAGGAGCAGGCTTTAAACCACCACTACCTCCGAGCCTGTTTTTGCCAACCCTGAATTTCACTGCAGACCGAGTTTTGCCGAGCCTGGGTCCAATTGTATTCTCTATTCTGGTACCCGTTGGAAAAAAAAAAAAAGAAAGAAAAACCAAAGAAGAGGATACAGAAAAGACGTATGCAGAACATTTGGTAGACATGAGAGTCTGCCAATCTGCCCTCAGCAAAACATGGAAATAGGAAAAAGAAAAAAAAAGGGGGAAAAAATGCAAGAACTCTTTGGACGTGAAAGCAGCTGGATACAGAGCATTGGGCACAAACGAGAATCTGCCCTACCAACGGGCGTTGCAGCCCTCAGCACACACGGCTGTACGAAAAAAAAAAAAGCAAAAACAGCACCGACTCTTTGGACGTAAAAGCAGATGGATACAGAATCTCAGAATCTTAGTACATGCGAGAGTGCCCTGTGGGTTGCAACTTTCAGTTGTCCGTGGAAAACGCCCTGCCTCATGGGCAGGGTACCAAAAGTAACTTAGAAGCAAAAAATAAAAAACATGAAAAAACACAAAATGAAACGATTGATGATTCAGGCCAGATGCATTCCCCTGGAGCAACTGCTGTGAGCACACTTCCTTCGTGGCTTTCCCGGACGTTCTTCCTTTTAACTCTGCAATTTCTTTTTTTTTTTTTCTTTCGTTTTTTTTTCTCCGGTTGGGCCCACAAGGCCCAAATGTTTTGTTTTTGCCAACCCTCGCCCGGAACCCCGAACTTTCCCTAATGGGACCACAGCTTGTAAAGGTAGTGGTGGTTTAACGGAGACCCAAATTTTCAATGCTACTTATAACAAAACCCGAAAACACTTCCGAATGTTAAGACATGGTCCTCACACACAATTCCAACAGCCAAAAAAAAAAAAAAAAAATCCCAAAAAGTTGAAAAAACAAAAAAAAATGGCCAAAAAAACATGGTTTCAGCAATGAAACCAGTTTATTCGTTAACCACGAGTGGTTATGAAGGCGGCTTTGCTCCTGAGGCTGACATTTTGTATCTACTATTTCGCTAATTCACACCCATCATATGTAAATCAGCGAATTAGATTGTTCATTATCAACTTGTTCCGATTTTGTCCCACCACAAAATTTCGGAGAAATGATAAAATATAGTAAAGCTACAAATTGAGGCAAAGTAGGTGGTCTATGTCACCAAGTTCCCAGCGCTGCATTCGAAATTGGACCTGGTTCGGAGATGGCTCTGTGAATGGAATTGGATTTTGAAAAAGACAGGCGAGAGACCTGTGCCGCCAGTTTTTTTCCTATAGTAGATCTGCCCTCACGATAATTGCAACAAGTTAAGCTCTCGAGTTGAAAAAGATAGGTGAGAGACCTGCGCTGCCAGTTTTTTTCCTATGGTAGATCTGCCCTCACGATAGTTGCAATGAGTTAAGCTCTTGAGTTGTCGATGAACACTAGTAGTTATACCAACAGGCCTACCATCTTCCCCTGAACACAATGCAGCCTCAGTTTGGCTGTATGTATGCACTCATTACCGGGTTGCAGTATGTTTGGGGGAAGACGGTAGCTCAGTTGGGAGCCTATGAATTGTTGAAATGCAGGAACCAGAGGAATAAAATCAACTATTCGAATTTATTTCTGAACTGCACCTGGGGTCGTTCAGTTCCATGGTGATGTCTCAGGGGCTTCGGCCCTTCTTAAAAAAAAAAAAGTATGCACTGTTGACCCCAAAAGTGTACTTATTCCTGTGAGCGACTCCAATGCGTACTTTTTGGTCTGCAGTCCCCCCCCCACTCTTTCCACATATGGTGTCTGGCAGAAAATGATTCCTTACATGAAGTTACATCACATGCCTTCTGTACGGATTGTTTATTTTTTTTTGGGGGGTCTATGCATCTTGATTATGCATGCTGTGTGTGGATGTGCTGGACACACTTGTGCTCATCTTATATGCTGCGTAGCACGGTGAATGTGTTCGCGCCCCTCCGCGTTCGCACGAATGGCTCGCGAACGTGTTCGGGCAAACATAACTTTTTTTTTGGGTACGAAAAAAATAAAAAATAAAAAAATTCGGTTTTTGATTTTCACCTCACGTTTCCCTAAGAATTTGAACACGAGTCCAAGGCAAAAGTTGCTTTTATTGGTGGTTTACATGACATATATTATTTTCAGATTTTCTGAGTGCAATCAGACTCGCTTTCTTCTTCACTTCGCATACATGCAAACAGATAGCAAGTCACACTGGCGCCGGGCGCCCACTCAAAGCTCAGAGATATGGAAACCAAGAACACAGCTCAGATGCTAACTCACTTCATCCAGCTATGGGGCAACAGCGCCCGTACATCTAACTCTCGTCACTGTGTCCAACACCACTGTTCGCACATACTCCACTCTGGATCACCCTGAATACTCCACGCACACGTACTCGGTCTCACGCACAGGCACACACTAACCTCTTATCTCTAACCTATGGCGGCTATGGCCGCTCGCTACTACTATTATGGCTACGCTATCTTCTTCTTGCCCACTTCGGCTTCGGGCGCTCTCGCACAAGACGCTGGGGCAGCGCTTCCGCATGACCTACGCAGCGAATGAATGAATGGCTGGGCGCTGCCTCTTGATTTATACTTTCTGTAACTCCTTGGTCTGCCCCTTTCCCCGGCCCTTGGTGCACACAGTCCCACACAGTACTTGCTTGACTGGACTCTGACTGACTGGGACCGGTACTGCTGACTGCATGGGTTTGCACTGTCAATTTGATGCAGTCACACTACCGACGTAACGCAGTTTGGCTCACCACTCGCCCACTTGCCTCGGGCCAAACGTGAGTCAACTTCGAAAGGCCACTTCCGGACCTTCCGGAAGTCTGTGGACTTGGCCTTTCGAGTACTGTTGCAGCTACGACCTTGACCTTTCGGGACTGTAGCAGCTACGACCTTGACCTTTGAGAATACCTACAGCTACGACCTCTACAGAGCTGTGACTCCTAATCAACAGACCTACAGATCGAACCCCTACCACAACACAGACCTACGACAGCTGACAAACAACTACCAAAGCACAGGTCACGGGTTCAAACACTCGGGGGTCGGCTTGGTACTGTACATGGGCAAAGTAAGGTCTGGGAATCGAACTCTAGGGCCCGCATCTGTGACTGCAGAAAGGTGAAAACCGTTTCATGAGTCTTTTTTTTAAGTATTTTTTTATGTTCGTGTTCGGAGGGTTTTGGGTGCTCGTTTGCGTTCGGGCGTAATGGTACACAAAGCCACTTTGAAGTGTACTTATTTGCTTTGCTAATTTTTGAAATGTGGTGGAAATTCCTTAGGGACCCACACTTATCTTACTTTGCGTTCTACCCACTGTAAGAGTTTGAACTTCACAAGACCGACCATACATTACATACGTAAAAGAAAGCCTCAGCATCGATCAATCCAGCAAATTAGAATTGAAAGTAGACGCAAAGTGAGTGGCTTGCCGCTCCATGTTCGCGTTCGCCTCCGAACACGAACACGATGCTACGCAGCTTATATGAAATGTCTGTCTTTTTTTTTTTTCTGTTATTGTTGCTATTGTTTGATTATTTATGGTTATATTTCCTCATATGCACCTTGGAAAGATAACTGAGGTAGACTAATATGTTGCTTGGGCAATGTTTGTTGTGATTGCAGAGTGAAGATGAGACCGCACGACTGCAGGCCAAGTTCCGCCGGATTGATGTAGGTTCATCACATCAAACTCTCTCTCTCTCTCAAGTGCTGTGTAGCTACTTCATTGTGAGCCGGTATTTGTATATGCAGTGTGCATGTGTGTGTGTGTGTGTGTGTGTGTGTGTG